CATGTCTCCGTTGTGCTTAAGCCCAGGGTGCATAGCGTGCCGCAGTTGCTACGTCTGGTTCATGCATTGGTCATTCCAAAGCATTAATTACGTCAATATACGACTAGTGGTAAATCGCCCAGTACGACGTTTTCTCTTGTGCATGCAGTATTCCTGCAAAAATCGACAGCTTGCCTTCTTGTGAGGTCAAGTAACACACAAGTGATAGTTATTGTATTACCGGTATCAGAGTGCTCTATATTAGTAACAATATCAATGCGTAATGATGCCCCTCCTCTTTGACATGCGAAGCGATAACAAAATTAAGCAGTCTCGTCTTTCAACAGGCGTGGTGGCACGCGAGTTCTAGTCCTTAGTGATGTGGTATTCAGTGTCAGGCTTAGCGGATATGTAACTTAACAGGCATCAGTGGATATGCTAAACGATTTCACTGTTAAGACAAAAGTGGTACATCGCCAACTGCCCCCCCCCCCCCTTGGAATGAGAGCGGCGAATACACATACTCTTACGTATAGCTGGCTGAGTCGTTATGAAAGTGAACAGAGCCTTGACTGTGTCTGCGCCGAAACAAACGTTATTAGATAATTCGCAAGCAAATCAGCATTATTTCAGGACGGCCGCCAAACCCTCGTCAGTGTTACTATCGACAATAATATGTTCAATGTGTTTATATAATATGTCATGACTTAAATAGCCCCGGCGAGTAGTCGTCGTTGATGGCGTGAACGCGCAGTGATCAGATCAACCCGCCAGATTCTCCGCTCTCCTGCTCGACGTTCAACGCCAGCCGTCGTTCTATGGAAGTTATCGGAAAAATCAAAAAATGTTGTACAACAGCCTATAACTGATAAATCCGACAGTCACTTGGCGGACGCACAATGAAACATAAAATATCGCAACCCATCGATATATTGCATAATTATCGAGAGCAGAATGCAACACGAAATAGCACACGTCATATAATAGACTAGGAATAATGTGCGAGTACGTATTCTAAAAAAACACAGAACGCATTTTCTTCAAATGTCTCCAAAAGGAGGAAAAGAGGGCCGGAACCCCCAGAATCGCAAAAGGGTCGGCGATTCCTTAGCTGGCCTTACATTGCGCCGAAGTGAGGACGTCGAGTGTCCAGCCGTCGATACACCAGACCGATAGGGCCCCCCACTCTGTACCTGTCTCACTGAGCCCCCAACCCCGACGGGGTCGGTGTTTTTAACGGGCCGCCTCTTATTGATCTTCCTGGCGCACATGTCCGGAATGAGCATTCGGGTCAAGCGTAAAAACAAAAACCGTACTCGCACGTTGAAAAAACACAGTATGTGGCCCGCGGCGGGTAGGTGCGCCGCGCGCCACATCTGAAGTAAACCTGCTCAATACCGTCCCCGGGATTACAAGAAAAATACACACGTCATAGGAATAGCCTAATCGCACTAAAAACAGCATGTGTCCCGCGGGGTACATAAGCCGCGCCACATGTCGGTCTCCCGGAGTGCTCCCGATCAGTCAGGAGCTCGCCACGACGGTCTTGAGTTCTTCTCGCTTGCTCTGAGAACCGTTTAATTGTTGACGGAGACCTTTTTGTTGGCCTGCCGTGGCACCCATGATCGCTTCGGTTTCGTCCCTGTTAGCCTCGGTGCATTGGTCTTAGAACAGCGCTAGCAGCGTGCCGATGAAAGTGTACGCGCATTAGTCCAACATAGCTTTACGTGCCGACGACGTCGTAGGTGTCATTTCTGCTGGTTATTGACTTTGTGATACCTATTATAACTGCGCGATGCGCATCGCGTTCTTAATCCATTTTAAATCCTACCATGTGTTTTACTTCTTCACAGCAAACAAGGCAACAACTCTGCATTAATCATCAGCCGTAAGCTGATGACATCGACGAGCCGGCTGGCTGTGAATGAGCTAGAAATCAACCTCTTGTTTGATATTGATGGTATTCGGCGGCCACATTTGGTTCATTTTGCGATGTCTTTCAGAAAGACTTAACTTCAAAATGGCAGCACTTACCACGGTCTGAACAAAATGAATAAGCTCCATATATGTGCGTACGCAACATGCCTATTCTGCTAGGGCTAAGCACAGTAAGGCGCATCCCCATATCAAAAATAGCTTGCTAAGAAATTCAAAATTTGATGGCCAGAATTCCTGGATTTTTTGTGCGGGAGCTAAACTCTAGGGGGGGGGGGGCATAATACTGCGTTATCATCCCCAAGAAATCCTGCATCTGCCCCTGCTGCTGGCAAGGTAATGATTATACGGCGTTCAGCCAACTTTTTAAGTAAGCCCAGAATGAGTCAGGTGGAGGCAGTTGGCGCCATCCGCTGTGGCGACGGGCGTGCTTAGTACAGCTGTGCAAGTGACACTCGCAGTGTTACGCTTGTGCAATGTGTTCCCTCAAAGCACAGTGTCATCTGTTAAAATTCCCTGATGTTGTGTGTTCCCTGTTTTGTCCTCGAAGATGTGTCGTCATAAAAGTAAGAATGAGACATAATTGTGTGCAACTTTAGCTGTGGCTGGGAGGGAAAGAATGCCAGGGTAGCCAGTTTTGCATGGTCTTGATCCTTGACCTTTTTTTTAGGTCGGGGGAGTGCGGATCGCATCCATTAATGGCAATATGATGCCCGTCTTGTGTTGTTTTTGTTTTTTGTTTTTTGTTTTTGTTTTTTTGGGTAAAAAAAGAATAACAGGGCATCCCAATGCTGACCTTTCATTGGCTTGATTCAATGGAATGCATGTTCATGCATAATCTGAGTAGATTGACTCCTTGACAAAAGATAACAAAAATCGGAGCCCGGTGCTGAATTTCAATACAAACACGAAGCTACTCGCTCAGACACAGCGGTAGAAGGCCCCTGTCGCTCGTCTCCCCAACGCATGTGATTTGTGTCCTTCCCTCAGCAATGCTTGAGCCTGGTCGTCTTAGCATGGCTTGTTACTGTAAAACATCCCCATGATATGAGGGCCTTCTATCTTTGATGACAGCGACTTCTCCGTCAGCGATCGAGACTTCTCTCTTCGTTACGAAGCCTGCTCTTTGTAACGGGGTCTTATCTTTTCGTGACGGGCCTACTCTCTTCATGACGAATCTGCTCTCTTTGTGGCGGGCCCTGGTCTCTTTGTGACGGGACCTCCTCCGTTCGTGATGGGGTCTCCTCTTTCCGTGGAAGGGCCCCTTTCTCGCGGCGGATTCCCGCTTTTCGCGACGGATGTCTCCTCCCATCGCGAGGGTCAGCTCTCCTCGTGAAGGAGGCCTCCTCTCACGTGATGGGGGGCCTCCTCTCACGTGATCAAAGCCTTCCGTTATGCCCATCTGACAGTGGTCATGCCCCTGGTCCACCTGTAGTTGTCTGCGCCCCCCCCCCCCCCCCCCTCCCCCTAAGTCCCGTCACAATGAGTCAGTCAATATGAAATAGCCTTTCGTAAGGTGAATCTGTTTCCGGAACCAGGCGTATACCATGCAATTGAGCATACAGCCACGAACGTGCGATCGCGCACTGCGTAGGGAGACGGTCCAGCCCAGTTTTTTCGATATACAACATGCAAATGTGGGTGCGGGAGACAAAAACTAAGTTGTCTTTCAAAGTGATGGCACGGTATCTGCAGGGGCGGGAGCGCTTTCATTACCAATGGCAGCAATGCGTCTTTCGTCATAACTCAACGCTGTGAAAATCGCTGCCACAGTGACGAAATTCTCTGACAAGATGGAGGGCGGGGGGGGGGGGAAGGCATGCTTACTTTGAACCATTTGCTCGTCATGCAACTTCATAGGGGCAATTAAAGACTGTCCGCCGTCGGGGGAGGGACGCCACTGTTTCACGCACTGCACTCTCGCCGCCGTATATAGATATATATAGATATAGATATAGATATAGATAGATAGATAGATAGATAGATAGATAGATAGATAGATATATATATATATATATATATATATATATATACGGCGGCGAGAGAGAGAGAGAGAGAGAGAGAGAGAGAGAGAGAGAGATATATATATATATATATATATATATATATATATGTCTCTGTTGTGTATAGCACATCTACGCACGCAACAGCACGCATCACAACACACCTGAACGTTACAGCATAACAACAAAATAAACTTGCAAAGTTAACTATTTATGAATGTATTATACCACGTACTGCAATATTCAGCTGATATAAATGGCATAGATAGCTATGCGAGTATCACACTATATTACACCAAAACTGAGTTACATCATAGAGAGGATATTTATCACTCCATCTGGATTATGGAAACGATCACAGATTGCAGTGTCACAGGGGTGTGGAAAATTTACTGCAATGTCCCAGATTTCGCTCGATACGCATGCTTATCTCATGCCTAATGAATTCAGTTGTCCATGGAAATCCTCGATTGTCATCACGACAAACAAAAACAATGCCTTCTTCACTTCCGCATCAAGACAATCGCGCTTGCCAGACAGGAATAACTCGCGCTTCGCTCGTTTGACAACGCATATCAGCACGACCCATGGACGCACGCGTCACCTGCCTGCAACCGACACGTCACACACCTATCTGATGCATAATCTGGTATATCATGTCGTAACACAGCGTAACACGCTTCCCGCAGCCACCAGCCACTACCGAGCGTCCCAGCCCGGCCCATAACAGCCACGGTTGGGTAGTCTCTTCCCACAGTGCTGCTTTTGCGGTCTGCTGCGGGGCGAACTCCGTCCGTCACACACGCACATCCCGACGCAGTGCGACGCGAGAAGCGAGGCGAGCCCGGCCCGCTTCGCCAGGCGGACCCTGCCCGCTTCGCAAGGTGAGACAGACCCGCTTCGCCAGGCGGACCCCACCTGCTTCGTCACGCGAACCTGACTCGCTTCGCCAGACGGACCCCACCCTCTTCGCCAGGCGGACCCGGCGCGCTTCGCGAGGCGGACTCGGTCCGCTTCGCAAGGCGAGGCAAACCCGCCGCGGGTGAGACGTCACACTCCGGACGGAGGCGCGAATCGGACGGAGATGTCCATCCACACAGGTTGCTGGGCGGGCCGCTGCCACGACACGGCGGGAGGTGAGGCGAGGCGTCACTGACTGGCGCAGCCCGCCAGGCGACCCGTCACGGCTCGGGAAGCGAGGCCGAGCCGTCGGCGATCGTCTCCAGCGCGCGCACCGCCTGCCGCAGTGAGGTCACTGTCTCTTGCAGCCGCTCGCGTGAGCAGGTGAGCGTCAGCTCCTGAACGGCGCTGTCAGACGGCAGCATCACGAACGTTACCTCGAAGTGCGGCCGGTTCGCGGCCGCGCCGGCCACGCTCGACTGCGGAGAGGGGGGGGGGAGATGGAGTTCAGGCGGCGCCACTCGGCGGTGCGGGGTGGCACGAAGACGGCGGGAAATGCGGTAAGCACAGAAGAGAGACGGTCATACGGCTGCGGGTTTGAACTTAAAGGTGTTTGTTGAAAACCCACATGATCCCTGTTAGTTTGCTGGAAAACTGAGTTATCCACTGCTGACCTGTGCAGCATTAGACTGACGACTGCGACTTGTTTTAACTGAAGTGGCGGCCTTAAAGTCATGAAGTACTGATCACGTCACATTAATGAAAGCATGATGTGAAGTGGCAACCTGACTTCAATGCTGTCCTGATAGATTCTTGACCTCTGCATCTCTGCAACCTCACTCACCAACTGTGACCCACCATGACCCCTTCTCACCTGCACCGTGACCACCTCGCGCCACCTGACGTCGACCAGCCGCGGCGGCTCGTAGCCGACCCTTGCCAACAGTTGACGCGCCGCCGGCCGCGCCTGCGCCACCAGTTCCAGCAGCGCGGTCTGCCTCTCGGCCATCCAGCCGGCCTCCTCCAGCGTCGTAGCCAGCCGCGCCTCGCCCGCCGGGTCGGAGTCCGACGGCGAACGACGCACGTGCTCGACGAAGGTGGCCAGCAGGGCAGCGTGGCAGCAGCGCACCTGGTCAGCGGCCAGGTCTGGGCACTTCACCAGGAGTGCTGGGGGCACAGGGCATTGGTCAGGGACATGGGGCTGGATAACTGGGGGAGGCTTGGTGTAGATGGACAAAATTGTGTTGAACTTTACAACATGGTGATGCAGTCATCACAGCAGATATAGACAGGATATGACCCTTGTGCATTACCATACAGGATATGGTGATGAACATGCAGCTTGACCTGAGCAACATTTGAAAAGTTCAAACACTTCTGGGCACATGGACTTATCCTGGTTGGCTGACTCTGTAATGTTTCCATTGACACATCTTTCTATATAACTCAAAATAACCAATGATGGGTCAAGGTAGTAACAGGGCAACCATGGGAACAAAGCTATTGACTTCTCATTACTAGCACTAATTCTGTAAATTTGTCTCATGAGATATCAAGAAAACAGCAAGATATCCCAACCATTGAAAGCTTACATGAGACATGTTCCCTCTTTGATGGATCTGTTCCATCCAGAACAGCCCGCTTCACAATAGCTTTGAAGGGCTTGTCAGACAATGTTGCAATAACTTTGAGCCCATCCAAGTGCTCCTCTGGTAGATCCATTGTTGTGTGGCAAGTGAAGCACCATCAAAAAAGCGGCCTGAAAATAGAGAATATTTTTAGAGTGCTCAAAACATGCACATTTAGAGAAACACCTCAGGCTAATCGACCACACACAAACATTAACTGGGACTGCTATCAACCCCATGAGGCGGCATCCTGCCATTGACATGTCCATGAGCAGAGGTGGAGTAACGCAGTTACAAGATCATGCATACCCGCTAAGTGCAATTTTCAAGACAGAGTATGACATAGTTTAAACGCACATCTCAACGCGAAATCGACTAACTTGCCCATAACCACCACCCAAGCCTTTCCATGCTCAGCGTTCAGCTCCAGGGTTACTTCATCGGCCATTTGCTCAGACTTCAATGTACGCGTTAGGCAGTACCCAATCGGATTGCAGCCTTTACGCAAATGAAACCTTCTGATTGGCTGTGTTGATATGATATGCGAGTTTCAAGTCAGTATTGGATGTCTCCATAATTTGTGAGAAATCTGGCGCCAGTGCTACCAAACCAACGCGAATGTCATCAAAACGTTAGCCACGGTAAACGCGTGCACCTGCAGTGCCGATAACGCTCGTGTGTTGAGGGCGGGTGCGTGTTGGTGGGTCGATCCCTTGGTGTACCCGATATTACCCTCCTGCTCATTGCGAACTGCCTTAAGGGAGGACAGGTACGTTCATGCTCACACACGTTTGCGGCATATTTGGGATGGTGCTTTTACACTAAACTCATGATGTGCAGCAAGTCTATGTCACACAGGTGTCTGGGGAGGTGAATAGAGTATTTGCAGACTAGTTTGAGACTGAGCCACCTTATTTGATCTATTTATTATTCTAGTCTTTTTGCAATGTGGCATTCTGTGTCTATAAATTTTAGATCAGCAGAAAAGCCTTAAATTAGTTTTTGCATTGTAAGTGGAGTTCATTTGCTAAAAATGTAATGCTAACAGTAACTTGCATGAAATGTACCAGGAGGTACTAATTGAGCAAAGCTTTCAAACAACTATTGGTTAATGAGCAAACAGTGGCCTCCCTAGCATGTTGTGTCATCCCAGAGAAATGAGGTAAATGGGTGTGAAGTTGACTGGAATGTAGATGTTACATGCCCATCATGGCAAAGGAGGTTGGTGGGAGACCTTTGGGTCATAACCATTGCCACCTATTGCTGTCATCTTGGTCACAGACTAGTACACTCTGAAGTGCTGGAGTTCAAACTGCATGATGTTCTATCAGGATGTGTGCAGGGGCTGGATCAGCTGAACAACTTCTGGCATGTTTTTTTGTGTAGCTAATGGTGTGTCCCTTAACAAACCTTTTAAGAAAGATGGGCATTGACATGCTTGTGATGGGTGCTAAGCATATGTTGCACTCTTGGAGTTGCAACAAACATTTTTTTTCTCTCTTTGATACAAGCAGCTCTCAGAAGAACTACTGTCTAGTTTGCAGTCCCCTAAGATGAACTGAATGCTTCCTAGCAGGACTATGGCAAAGAGTATGTTTATTATAAGCAATCTGAGCATAATTTGGCTTCTGAACACTTAAGTTTATTATGAGTGGACTGCAAGGCTACTGATGCATTTACCAATATTCTGCATCAGGAGAATACCATTGCTGCTGTCACTGGGTTTTATTACAGACCACTACACTCATTATATTACAGACCACAGACTCATATTACAGACCACTCACTACAATCATTGGTGCCTTCTTCAGGTGGCAGTGTTTGCATGCTGTCCCATTTCCCATGCATCCCTGCACTAAATCATTGGGGACACACTTGGTTTTGCATTTGCTGCAGGTGGTCTGAGACTGGGGCTAGGCTGTGAGATTTGTGGGGAATTTGGAGGGATTCATGGCTGTTTGGTCTAGTCAAACCACTGTACACTGCACAGTCAAGGTGTGTTGTGCTGGTGGAGGGACAGGGTAATGCTGGTCTGCTGGTTGGGCAAGGAGCAGGCACAACACATGTGCTGACATTACTGAATATTTGTGTTTGTGAACTGGGTTAGGGCATGCCACACTCAGGTCAGCTCAAGGGTGAGGGGTTGCTGCACTCAGATGGAGGCTGTTTGTCAGCTGACTGTGAGTTTGAACTTCTGCCCGCAGGCATTTTCGAACTTGAAAGATAGAGCTTGACTTAAAACACCAGTGGACTGGTGTCGAGATTTCGTGATTCGCGCTATTTTGTATATTGTTAGGTCAATAATTGGACCCAATATGGCAAGCCACGGGAAAATTTCTTGGAAATCGTGCTTAAACATTACAGCATCATAACTACGGGATCATGTTATTTGGCGACACACATCTCAAACACGCGTGTTCCTCGTTCAGTTGTGAGTATAATGGTGTATAGTTTGAGGTGCTCCGAGCACACGCTCGTCATGTATGACTCCGTTAATTTATCAATGTCTGTCTGCCGCTCGCGCCGGCCGTAGATCGCCGGGCAGCGTTAATCAAAAACCGCCGCTGCTCCGAAACCACAAAAGGTAGGAACATGTGTTTGGTGTCCAAACACGCGCATTGGATGCCCCATAGTCTAGCGATGATTTGGGCGGCATTGCACAACATACTGAAGAGGTATCCTAAAAAAACAAACTTGGTGGATTGCATCCCCTTATCAGTGCGAGGCGTAACGTTCGCGGACCTGGTCAGTAATGTTTGCTGTCACTCCGCCTCTGTTGGCCGAAAGATCACCGCCGAAATGGCAACGGGCAGCCGTGGCGTCGTACCTCTCCGTCCGAGATGGCATGCCTCCTCCCTCCCACCATGCGTAAACATAGCGGGGCTAGTCGTACAACCTGTGACCTTACGCGACCGTATCCGGGCTATGGGTGACAGGACTCGATGTAGAGCTTTTGGACTTGACGGTGTGCCGCGGCTTGCGATGGAAACTGTTTTGCTGTCGTAGGACCTCACTCGCTTCATCTAACCAATAATTATTTCATCACTTGCGTTTTTTTCCTGTTCGTGAAAGATAGCTTTAGCTCTTATCATTGACAAGTCTGGTCGTCATCACGCCACCGCCAATTGTACGCTGACATCGATGTATATCTGCGGGCGAAAACACGAGAAGTTTGCCTGTTGGCAGGAAAATGCAGATGTATATCCCTTGCTTCCAGTAACAACGCGCGCTCACCATGTCGCTGGCGGAGGAGCTGCTGGCCGATCTGGAGGAGGGTGACGGCGCCGACGAGCTGCCGGAGGCGCCGAGCGCACTGCCCGTCATCCGGGAGGAGAAGATGGAGATGGATGACCCGTGCGCGCCAGAGGGTCCGTTCGGCCGGGAGCGTGACGTTCGCTTTGAACGCGCCCAATGTCTGCATGCATTGAGAAGCTGCGAGCTTTGTTTGTGTGGTGGAACTGAGGTGATGTGCACAGTTTCCACTGATGACGGGTGATGATGTTTTAGAGTACCTTGAAGATCGCCTGTCTTAAAAATCGCAGACTGCATTTTTTAACACTGCACATGAGCGGCTTTGGGCTCAGGCGGTGGCATGAACAAAGGTCATTGCGTACACCATGAACCAATCGTCCGAGAAACATTGTCACGACGCGCCTGTTCGACTGTTGTGTTGGACGGCTTGTTTTAGGCTGGGCCGATTTCTTGCCGTACTGTGACATGTCCAAATGTTTTCATCTTTGGCGCCATCCGTCTCCACCTTCGTTCAGACTGTCTGCCTTCTCATTGGCCAGTCCAACTGGCTTGACCCTCCGCGTTTACTTTGTCGCGAGCGTCGCGAATCAAGCATCGTTGCCGCCAGAGGCCTTCAGGAGGATCCACGATTCGCAAAGGCAGTCGCGTGTAGCGGGCAGTTGTGCTGGACGAGCGGCATCGGCTGACGCCGACGTCTGTCCTCAGCACCCGACGGCGCCGCGGTCCACTCGCTGCTGAAGTTGGCCGGCTCTGCCCGGCTGGAGGACATGATGCAGGCCGTGGAGAAGTTCTTCGCCAAGGTGCTGCAGCCGCCTGAGCGCGTGCAACGTCTCGATCTGGCCGTGGACGCAACTACTTCGTGAATGTTATCCGGTTCCGTTTCTGTTTTGGTGGCATTTTATGTGGGCAAAAGACAAAAATACTGCAATCTCAGTAAGAGTTGCTGGGTTCCAGACCCCACTGACCCCATTGGTGGTGACGCTCATGCATTTGACCTTGCTGGACCGTGTCAGTTGAGCTGTGCGCGAAGGTGGTGCACTACGAAAGGTCCTGGTTGTGATGCTGCTAGCTTATGAGGCCGTGGCCTAGCCTTATGAGCAAAATTTATTTGTAGTTTGTGCTCATGTGGCGCAACCTATTGCACGGTGCAGGGCGGGGAGTTTGACTCGCCCGACGTGGTCTGGGCATCAGAGAGCTGGCATGGCGAAGTGTATTACCGCTTCGCTGCCCCGCTGCCGGTCCTGCCAAAGGCTTTCGTCATTTGCGATTTTCCCCGCGCCGGACTTCTGTGGTGTTTTTGCTGTGTGCTTGCTGCGGTCCGACTTGACCGCACCGGCTTGTGCTCGGTTCTGACGCATCACTACACGCGCCGTGATGCCGGCTGGTCGCCGTGTCTTCGGCCCCCTATCCCCTGACCCCGCTGGTTCGCGGACGGGCGATGGTGTGTGAGCCGCCGCCTCCTCCCCCGCGACCTCAACTTGACCCATGCTTGGCGATCAGGAGCGGCGAGCCGAGGACATGGTGGGACCGGTGGAGGCTGACCCCGAGTACCAGCTGATCGTGGAGGTCAACCTGATGGCGGCCGAATTCGACACGGAGATCGGTGAGTTCAAATCCCGGGACAGGATTTTTATGGACAAGCATGACGGGCTTTTCACCCCACCCCTCGTCGCCTGGTCGCGTGGGCTTTACATGCAGACTGCCACGTGGCTCGGCGTCGCCTACGTTTAACCCCCGGCTGCCTGCGTCGCCGCAGGCATCATCCACAAGTACTGCAAGGACCTGTATGGCCGCCGGTTCCCCGAGCTTGACTCGCTGGTGGTGGCGCCACTTGACTACATGCTGACCGCGCGCGAGCTGGGCAACGACCTGGAGCGCGTCAAGAACAACGACCAGCTGCAGCAGCTACTGACCCAGGCCACCATCATGGTGGTGTCCGTCACCGCCTCCACCACGCAGGGGTACGGCGTGCCGAGTCGGTCTGCCCGGGACGCCTCGCAGGGGATGGTGGGCGCGTGTGCACGCCGGCGGGGATACGCTTTTGGGGATGTGGATGGATGTTAGCCCTGGTTCAGGCTGTGTTGTTCATCGTGACAAACGATTCAACTGCCCATAGTGCTTGAAGTCATGTGCGTATTTTTTTCTTCACGAAACCAGCGGCTGTGTTTTAGTTATGCAGCGTTGGTGATGTCATAATGTCGACCGATGCGTTTGGGAATGCCCGTGGGCAGAGTTCACGTCGTTCCTGTGTGTTGGGTCTCCGATGATGCGGCGTGCTGACGGGCGGATTCCCGGAATCTGGTGTCGATTCCCTGAATCCGGTGTCACTTCCCTGAATCCGGCGTCGATTTCCTGAATCCGGTATCGATTCTCTAAAGCCGGTGTCGATTCCCCAAATCTGGTGTCATTTCCCTTCCCCTGTTGATTCCCTGAATCCGGTGTCGATTCCCTGGATCCAGTGTCACTTCCCTGAATCCGATGCCGCTTCCCTGAATCCGGTGCCACTTCCCTGAATCCGGTCTCGATTTCTTGAATCCGCCGTCGATTCCCAGAATCCGGTAATGATTCTCTAAAGCCGGTGTCTATTCCCTAAATCCGGTGTTACTTCCCGGAATCCGGTGTCGACTCCCGGAATCCGTTATCGGTTTCCTAAGGCCGGTGTCGATTCCCTAAATTTGGTGTTGATTCCCTGGATTTGATGTCGGTGCCCTGAGTTTAGTGTCCATTCCCTGAGTCTGGTGTCACTTCCCTGAATCTGATTTCGCTTCCCTGAATCCGGTGTCACTTCCCCGAATCCGGTGTCGACTCCCTGAATCTGTTATCGGTTCTCTAAAGCCGGTGTCGACTCCCTAAATTCGGTGTCGATTCCCTGGATTTGATGTCGGTGCCCTGAGTTTGGTGTCGATTCCCTGAATCCGGTGTCAGTTCCCTAAATTCAGTGCCTTCCCTAAATTTGGTGTCGATTCCCTGGCCCCGGTATCGATTCTCTGAAACCGGTGTAGATTTCCTGAAGCCGTTGTCAATTCCATGAATGCGGTGTCGGTTCCCTGGATCCAGCGTCGCTTCCCTAAATTCGTTGTCGATTCCCTAAATCCGGTGTCACTTTCCTGAGTCCGATATCGATTCTCTGAAGCCGGTGTCGATCCCCTGAATGCGGTGTAGTTGGCCGTCTGACCGGCTGCCGGCGGTGTGATGGGCCGTCTGACCGACTGCCGGCGGTGGGCCCGCCCAACAAGCGCGGTCAAGCCAGGCGGGCACCACGTGGCCCGCACCCGACACATCTCTGTACTGACTCATTGGCGTCGGTCCGAGTCATCTGAAATTGATGACCCGTCGTAGCGTGACTTAGGCAGACCTTATTCGACCTGAGTTGGCTGCTGTGAGAATTCGTCCCTACTTGCGATGACTTCCACCCGAACCCGACCTCACACAGCAGTCGGAATCATGTGACCTGACCTGACCTCGCCTCACCTCGCCTCACCTCACCTCACCTCACCTCACCTCACCTCACCTCACCTCACCTCACCTCACCTCACTGAGTCTTTGCTCGAAGCTAACCCGTCCCGGTTGGTAGAGGTCTATAACTTGACTTGACGCTATCTGACCTGACCTCCTGGCATTAGTGAACCTGTGCGAGAACCTGACACGACTTGGTGGGTTGAATTCTGTGATACGATTTCACATGCCCAACAACGCCCCTTGCTGGGCTACCGAGCGTGACCTGGCCTGGATGGTGGGGTCGTCGATCTGACCTGACTTGACACCTCTCAGTGAGCCATTACCGAGACCACTGCTGCAGCAGGTTGAAACCAGGGACCTTAAATGAGCTGGTCTGATCTTGTCTTACCTACCCTGACCTGGTCTGTCCTGACCTGACGTGATCTGACTCAAGTGAGCCGCTACCCGAGGTTGACCTGGCACGGTCGACAGACACCCCTGACCTGACATGACCTCACTGCAGTGAGCCGCTACCCGAGGCTGACCTGGTGCGACTGGTGGAGGCCTGTGACCTGGCGCTGGAGCTGAACCAGAAGAAGCAGCGCATCTACGAGTACATCGAGTCCCGCATGGGTTTCATCGCGCCAAACCTGTCGGCCGTGGTGGGGGCCGCCACCGCCGCCAAGCTCATGGGTACGGGCCCGGCGCAGGTCGGCCAGCGGCGAGGCCGGAGTCCGCCGATTGCAGGTGGCATGCCAAGGCCCCGGGGGAGGGGGAGGGGGCGGCTGGTCACCTTTGCGTCACCTCGTGTAAGGCTGGAGTCGGTGGGAGCGAGGGGGGGGGGGGCGTTATGGCCTGTGGCGTGGGCAGAGAAATGGTGATCTCCGCGAACTTGTGGTGGGTTAGTGAGGCGCTGTTTTGGGCCGCAGTGGCACCGCAGTCGCCTGAACAGTAACTTTAACGGGTTGTGCCGCATATCCCACATCGCCCGCACGTAGGACCCTAGCGGCTGACGCCGGGACACTGGGCGGGTTAGCCGGACGTTGCTGATGCTGCTGATGATGTTGATGGTGGTGCTGATCATGATGGTGATGGCGGTGGTGGTGTTGATGTTTATGATGATGTAGTTGATGATGGTGGTGGTGCTGATGATCATGATGATGATAATGATGTTGATGCCGATGATGATGCAGCTGCCCCTCTCCCGGACAGGCGTAGCCGGAGGCCTGACGGCCCTCTCCAAGATGCCGGCCTGCAACATCATGCTGGTGGGAGCGGAGAAGCGGAGCCTCTCCGGCTTCTCACAGGCCAACGTGCTGCCACACACCGGCTTCATCTACTACTCGCAGCTGGTCCAGGAGCTGCCGCCCGTGAGTGGCCGGGTGGGCGAAGGCATCGGTTTGGGGCCGAGAAATCCGCGGTTCGATTCCCAGCGCGGGTAACTTTCGGTTTCCGTGAGGGGTGTTGACGCTTGTGGCCTGAATAACTGTATGCACCGACAGGCGATTACTTCATTATCGCGAGAGGCGAGGGCTACGTTGACATCGGCTGCCTAATCCGCCTGGTGGCGCAGGGAGGGAACAACTAGAATTTTTGTTTTACTTTGTTATCTGTGTCGGCCTGACGGGTCGCCTTATAAAACTGCATTTGTTTTATGCACAATGGCAATGTTGAACTCTGCTTCTTCACTGAAGAGCGACCGCAAGCGGTCGTGGACATGTCAGGTGCAGCACCTGCAGTTTGTGGCATGTTCGCCCGTGGGTGACCTGTCGTCCTCGATAATTCGTGCAATGTTACCCGTGTCGCGGCTCTCCGTGACCCGTCACGTATGACCCGTCACTCCCGTAACACGCGTGACGCGCGCGACCTGACCTGACTTGCCCTGATCGGGACGGCAGGACCTGCGCCGCAAGACGGCGCGCGTGGTGTCGGCCAAAGTGGCGCTGGCGGCGCGCGTCGACAGCTTCCACGAGTGCCCGTCGGGCCACGTGGGCCGCAGCCTCCGGGAAGATATTGAGAAGAAGCTGGACAAGATGCAGGTGGGCTGACAGAGGGCTGGTGGGGCGGTGCTGGAGACTGGGGCCGGGATTTGGGCTGGGGCCGGGGCCGAGTCGGGGTCAGGGCCGGGGCCGGGGTCTGGGCCGGGGCCGGGACCGGGACCGGGGCCGGGGCCGGGGCCGGGGCCGGGGCCGGGGCCGGGGCCGGGGCCGGGGCTGGGTCTGGCCTGGGAGTAAGGCGGGCTGCTGGAGCGGGGTTCGCACTGCCGTGCTTTCGTCATCATTGGGGCCTTGCGACGTACTCAGTTGCTGAGATCGTGTGGCGTCGCCTGTCTCTCGCTCTGGCGGGAAGGGCGTGCACGGCGGGGATCGAACCCCGCTTCTCTGGTTTCCCAGATGCGCACCTGTGCAAGTCGTGAAGCCGCCTCCTGATGGGTATGGCTGGGACCGAGAGCATGACATGTCTAGCAGAGTTGAACCGCGAGGCAGTGACACGGACCTGTGCATGATGACTGACTCAGCCCTAGCCCATGTCGCGGTGCCCGCCTCCGGTAAGAGCGTCTAGGCGCGTTTGTGATTATAACGATGACAAGACTGCCTCTGGCGCCTTTCTTGAGCCAGTGGCTGTCATTGCGCGCTGGAACTACAATCTGGTGACTCTGACTCTGACTTTGTCCCGCGCTGCGTTGCAGGAGCCACCTCCGGTGAAGGCGGTGAAGCCGCTGCCGGCGCCCATCGACATGCCGGGCAAGAGACGCGGCGGCAAGCGCGTGCGCAAGATGAAGGAGCGCTACGCCGTCACCGAGATGAGGAAGCAGGCCAACCGCATGACCTTTGGAGAGGTGAGACCCCTCGCGTCAGCCCCTCCAGGCTGAACCAGGCCGAAGAGTGGAGTGTAGGGCTCAGGTGTCGGAGACGTTTTGGACGAGGCGGAACGAAGTATGCCCCGTTCACCTTAGTTTGTTACGCTGAACTTTTGGAAAGGATGTGCTGGTTGGAGACCTGTGGGATGTATGTCAAGAAGGATCACTGTCGCTCCGCCTTGTACATGGTTAAATGTCAGCACGGATTGACATACGCCCTGGGTCTGAACCCATCGATTCCAATCGTTTCGGGTAGGCTGGATGCAAAAATGGACGTGAACCAGGCTGTCCAACATGCTCTGGAGGCTGTCACTTATTCGCGGGACATCACCACCGGCGTCATCAGAACACCGAACCCAACTAAGCGCTCACAGCACGTGACAACCAAAGTGCTGGGCGACATCACCTCCCAGACTTACTGCTCGTTGACCCGGCGTCGCCGTCGGCGGCCGCACCTGACCTGTTGGGCGTGGCCCCCACCGTCAGATCGAGGACGACGCGTACCAGGAGGACCTGGGCTACACGCGCGGCAACATCGGCAAGGGCGGCACGGGCCGCATCCGCGCAGCGCAGATCGACGAGAAGACCAAGGTCGGTCACGGGAGTCGGGCGGGGGCGGGGACGGTCTCTGACTGTCCCTTGTGGTCTGGAGTACAAGTCTCCCAGTCTTCTGCCGGTCTCTGTCCCGTGTGGTCTCCCAGTCTCCCAGTGGTCCTCCCAAAAGTACAAGTCTCCCAGTCTTCTGCCGGTCTCTGATTGTCCCTTGTGGTCTGGAGTACAAGTCTCCCAGTCTTCTGCCGGTCTCTGACTGTCCCTTGTGGTCTGGAGTACAAGTCTCCCAGTCTTCTGCCGGTCTCTGATTGTCCCGTGTGGTCTGGAGTACAAGTCTCCCAGTCTTCTGCCGGTCTCTGACTGTCCCGTGTGGTCTGGAGTACAAGTGTCCCAGTCTTCTGCCGGTCTCTGACTGTCCCCTGTGGTCTGGAGTACAAGTGTCCCAGTCTTCTGCCGGTCTTTGACTGTCCCTTGTGGTCTGGAGTACAAGTCTCCCAGTCTTCTGCCGGTCTCTGTCCCGTGTGGTCTGGAGTACAAGTCTCCCAGTCTTCTGCCGGTCTCTGTCCCGTGTGGTCTGGAGTACAAGTCTCCCAGTCTTCTGCCGGCCTCTGACTGCTCCGTGTGGTCTGGAGTGCTGGTCTCCCAGTCTGCTAGTTTCTGACTGCCCCGTGTGGTTTCGAGCCTCCCAGTCTTCTGACAGTCTCCGGCTGTCCCGTATGATCACAGGTACGAATCTCCAAGACCCTGCAGAAGAGTCTGCAGCGACAGCAGAACTACGGCGGCACAACGACCGTCAAGAAACACGTGGCTGGCACGGCTTCCAGCGTGGCCTTTACACCGCTCCAGGTCAGTGGCTGGTTCAGGTCAGGTCATAGGCCGGAGAGGCTGTGCGGGGCGTTGTGAGAGTCGGGTGAGGGGCCGCGATGTCAGCTCAAGGCAGATCACGGGTCGGATTGGGTCAGGAGACCCCGGGGTGTGGCAGACTGGTGTCAGGTCAGGGGGCCCCGTGGGTGGCATCGGTGGTCGCTGAGTCCAGTTGCTGGTTAGCGTGCAGTCCAGTGACGGCGTCCACGCGGTCTGTTTTGTGAGATCCGAGAGCCGAGCAGCGGTCCCGTAGCGGCCCCTGGCCACGTGACCCGTGACCTGACCGTGTGACCTGACCATATGACCTGTGACCTGACCTGTGACCTAACCGTGTGATCTCTCCCTGGCAGGGTCTCGAGATCGTCAACCCGCAGGCGGCTGAGAAGAAGGTGTCAGAAGATAACGCCCGCTACTTCTCGAGCGTCGCCTCCTTCGCCAAGGTGGAGCGCGACTGAACGTTCGGGTCACCCCTGATCTGAGGTCACAGGCACGACCCCGGCACGTGACCTGAGGCCACCGCGGGCCGCGGGTCCGTACACTGCCCGGCCCGATGGGCAGAGATCGACGGCCTCCTGGGTGTGGCGCGATGGCGGCGGGGCTGGGCCGCACGCGGCGGGTACGCGCGTGACCGGCAGGGCCTCCGGAAGCACCCGGGGCCCCCTGCAGAGGCCTCGGGGGATAGCATGAAGACAGCCAGGGTTTTACTGGGGTCTGGGTGACGTGTAGGCCAGAACCTGAGAACGCTGGAGCCCACGTGAACAAGACAAGGCAATGCAAGACACGACACGGCACCGTGAGGACGGGGAACGTGGACGTCATGCCCGTCGGCGGGGTATCGTAGCTCTACCTCCGCGGAGCTCGGCTATTCGTCCAGGCCTCTGGCGTCGACTTCTGTTGTGGACTTGTCGTGACTCCCGCCTGCGGCAAGTGCACGCGCCTGGACCTCACCACCGCCGCATGGCTGTGTGGAGACGGCGGCTCCGCACCGCGCGGTGTCTCGGTGGCTCCCCCATCACAGCGGCCGCGAGCGGCTAATATACCCCGGCGGGGTGTGACCGCCGCCGCGGTGCTGGCGGGGTCGTCCCGGCCGCCCCGCCCGCCGGCGGCCGGGACTGCCCGTATCCGCCGGGGCGGTGGAAGCGTCTCGCGTGCGGCCCCCCCAGCCGGGTGGGCGCGCGGCGTTTGGGCGGCGTGGCTCTCTCATCATGTGTGTGACTACTTCATCAGGTGCGGTGATGTGCTGAGACCGCGCTTGGTCCGGAAGGCTCAAGTGGCAAATACAGGCTGTTTTCGCGACGGTTTGTGAACTCTGGGGGATGCGGATCTGGTGAGCGAACGTCGGTGGTGCGGATTGTGCTTGGTGCGTCCAGGACTGGTTATGGAAATATGCAGCCACGCTATGCAAACTGTGAGCGCTAACGATCCGCTTCAAGCTAAAACATACATATTCGTGTCATGACACACGAATGCTGGACAAATTAAGACCCAGCCGTACTTTACAGACTAAGCGTGCTACACTCACGAACGGCGAACGAACATTCATACGAACAGTGACTTTCGAACAGTGGCCTGCAAATTCGTGAAAATAGAACACAGTGAACATGGCATTTTCGCAGACATTTCTTGATTTTCCCGAGCTTTCCGGCACTTCAAACCCATAAGGCCCTCCAGACGTCATGTCCAGCGTCGGTGCGCCCTACGACTTCAGTCATCACCGCCATGTACTCTATCTTTGGGGCGACTTCAGTCATCACCGCCATGTATTTTATCTTTGGGACGACTTCAGTCATCACCGCCATGTATTCTATCTTTGGGACGACTTCAGTCACCACCGCCGTGTGTTCTATCTTTGGGACGACTTCAGTCATCACCGCCATGTATTCTATCTTTGGGACGACTTCAGTCATCACCGCCATGTATTCTATCTTTGGGACGACTTCAGTCATCACCGCCATGTATTCTATCTTTGGGACGACTTCAGTCATCACCGCCATGTATTCTATCTTTGGGACGACTTCAGTCATCACCGCCATGTATTCTATCTTTGGGACGACTTCAGTCATCACCGCCGTGTGTTCTGTCTTTGGGACGACTTCAGTCATCACCGCCATGTATTCTATCTTTGGGACGACTTTAGTCATCACCGCCATGTATTCTTCCTTTGGGACGACTTCAGTCATCACCGCCATGTATTCTATCTTTGGGACGACTTCAGTCATCACTGCCATGCATTCTATGTTGGGGATTGCCAGCGCACGGTGGCTGTGTGGTGCTGAGGAGGACGGCGTGGGAAGGATAAACACTCACACCGCAAAACACGTTAATCGTTAATTACTTCGAGTCCTACATGGGCACACAACACAATACCACACGAGACTCACACACACCGTAGTATGATACTATGCGTTCGCATCCCGGCCCATGGCATCGTAATACGATGCCATGAACGCATAGCCCGGCCCAGGGTGTATGGCGGTGCTGTGAGCACGCATTCTGGCCCTTAACGTCGTGTGTAGTACAAAGCCCAGCCCGCAACGTCAAAGTGCGTAGTGCAAAGCCCAGCCCGCAGCGTCGAAGTGCGCAGTGCAAAGCCCAGCCCGCAACGTCAAAGTGCGTAGTGCAAAGCCCAGCCCACAACGTCGGAGTGCGTAGTTCAAAGCCCAGCCCGCAACGTCGAAGTGCGTAGTGCAAAGCCCAGCCCGCAACGTCGAAGTGCGTAGTGCAAAACCCAGCCCATGGCGTTGTGGTGCAACCCAACATACCCCCCCCCCCCCCCATCACAGACTCGGTCGCACTCTCGATATGTTGGGGTGGCACCAGCTTGGACTGCTTCGGCACATAAGTGCCAAAATAGGCCCAAAATTAGAACGTGGGCCTCCTACACGTCAGAATGGGGCCTATAAGGGTCAGAATGGGCCATATACGGGCCAAAATGAGCTCTTGACAGCTCAGAATGGCCCTTCAGAAGCTTACGTAAAGCCTTTACAGTTCAGAAAGGCCCATTACCATGCAAGTAGGGGCTCTCAACAGGCCCTCCAAGTTGGGCGGGGAACCCCCCCCCCCCCAGAGCTTTCAAGTTGGGGGGAAGGGGTGAGCTGCCTCCACTGCCCCCTCCTCCGGTCTCTGCGTCCTTTGAGAGTCTGGATCAAAAACTCTGTGTCATGCACGCCGCAGTCCGCAACCATGCTGGTATGCGCAAGAACGAAAAAGCTTTCGTGGTTCCTTTATTAAAGGGATGCGTTGCGCAGTGTTTCCGTGCGTAGAAACTGGGATAATCCGTATCCCTTGGCAATACCTACAATAACTGAGTTATCTCCCTCGCCTACCCAGGAGTTCCACGAATGTCCATCGGGTTAGCCCGCCGAAGTTCATCATCACATCACCACAGCAGACAATGTCAGGCGTGCTCGCACGACTCCTAGAACACGATGGCCGGGCGGGACACCCTCGTGACGCTCGTGTGACGGGTGTGACGCGTGTCTCTCAATCGCGTAACGCTCGTGTGACGCATGTGTCTCTCACTCGTGTGAGACGACTACTTGTGGTGTGCGGTGTTGGTGAGGTGCCCCCCCCCCCCCTCCCTGCACACGACGCGCGCCGATCCCCTGTTTGTTTACGCCCCCTCCCCCTCCCCCGCCCAGTCCAGCGCCGCGTGACGATTTTAGATCGATATTACAACGTTCGTCAAGTTAGATCGATATTACAACGTTCGTCAAGTTAGATCGATATTACAACGTTCGTCAAGTTAGATCGATATTACAACGTTCGTAAAGTCAGATCGATATCACGACGTTCGTCAAGTTAGGTCGATGTTACACGTTCACGTTCACGTGTCATATTCGATCTACTCACCAGTTACAATGAAATTTAGCTCACAGATAGAGCTAATTATGCCAATGACGCATACACATGTCACTAAGTGTGACATGACACATGATGTACCGTCATATGGCACAACATATGAGAGACAACGGCCAATTAAATCACAGGAGATGCATCGTTCAGCATTCCTTGGTTTTGGTGGCACCTTACGAAGCCGGATGTCTCGTTTTAGAGATGCGTCATATATGCTATTGTTTGAGAGCCCCTGGAATGCGTAAATTCAAATGCCACGCGTGGCCACTTGGTGAAAAACTTAATACGTACATGGTACGCATTTTTGCTCAATTTCAAGGTGATCTAAGGAGTCCCTCGTGCATTTACTTGACACACAATGTGTATGTGTTAACACATGCGAAGCTGTCATTTTCAAGTCTTGAATGCCTCTGGAAGGTGAACATGTGAATGTCGTACTATAATATTTGGTGGTTAGGTGTAACTATGTAAGGCGATTATTTGTGGGAATTTCAAAGCAATCAAAGGAGTTCGCGAATGTGTGAAAACCGACATCGAATGTGACATTTTTTATTTGTGCGTCATATTTTGCATGCCGTAACGTCATATGGCACATCATATAAGAGGCAACGGCTAATCACACCATAAGAGATGCATTGTTCAGCATTCCTTGGTTTTGGTGGCATATTACGACCCTGCATGTCTCGTTTTAGATATATGTCATATATCATATTGTTTGAGAGTCTCTGGAATGCGTAGATTTGAATGTCACAGATTGCCACTTGGTGAAAAGCTGTATACGTACATGGTACGCATTTTGCCCAACGTCAAGGTGATCGAAGGGGTCTTTCGCGCATTTAGTTGACATACAACGTGTATATATTAGCACGTGCGAAGTTGTCATCTTCAAGGTTTGAATGTCTCTGGAAGGCGAACGCTTGAATGTCATACTATTATATTTGGTGGGTAGGTGGAACCATGTAAGGTGATTACTTGTGGCGAATTTCAAAGCAATCAGGGGAGTCCGCGGATGTGTGAAAACCGACATCGAATGCGACTTTTTTTGGTTTGTGCGCCACATTTTGCGTGCCGTACCGTCATATAGCACATTATATGAGAGGCAACGGCTTATTACATCACAGGAGTTGCATTGTTCAGCATGTCTTGGTCATGGTGGCATATTACGACGCTGTTTGTGCCGTTTTAGAGATATGTCGTATATCCCGATGTTTGAGAGCCTCTGGAATGCGTGAATGGAAATCTCACAAGTTGCCACTGAGAAAAACGGTATATGTCCATGGTACATATTTGTGGCACATTTCAAGGCGATCAAAGGAGTCCCTCTGCCATCGTACTAACATGAAATGCATATATGTTAACACTTGCGAGATGGACATTTCCAAGATTTGAATGCCTCTGGAAGACGAGCATTTGAATGTCACAGTCTAGTATTTGGAGGCTAGATGGAGCAACATGATATAAATGTTTCTGCCGAATTTCAAAGCAATTGAAAGATCTCGGTCTTGAGTGACCTTGAACTTTTGTTTTTTTACGAGCGTGGTTTTAAATGTCACAATTGGAAAAATGATTTTATTAGGCAGCGTGTATGCACCCTCCAAAATAGAGGGCGGCTACGCACCGGGCTTACACACCCTCCAAAATAGAGGGCGGTTACGCACCGGGCTTATACACCCTCCAAAAATCTTTCAGATGGTTGTACGTGTCAAGCATACGCGGATTGGCAGCCTGGCAGGGAAAGAAGTGCAAAAATGCAGAATACCGTGCTAAAAGTCGGTTCTATGCATGATAGACATCAAACGATCACGAAATCCATCAACTCACTCTGAACCAGTCTTTGGTCACAAATGTTTGCCGCCGGCCCTCATCTCCAGTGAATAGATGGTTAGCGCGCTGGTCTCGCACGCGATAAGCCCGAGTTCGAATCTTGACAACGGCCGCTGTCAAGTGGGTGGGTTCATGGCCTATCGGCGCGCCGCGATGATGCCAACTCGCTTCACTTCTAAGCGGCATGAATTCTGGATAGAGCTCTTCATATCGGACAGCACCGCAGTTTCTAATGCTACGGGGGGGGGGGGGGAGTCCACACCCAACAGAGATATTGAGGGTCCCGTGAAGGTTGACCGTAAATCTAAATGAGTGAGACACACTGAACAGCCAGTGGAAGTGACGCACACGACGGCGGAGGCATGTAGAATTACGTTCGGCAATTGCGCGTAAAAATTTATCGGTGCGTATTCGACTGCTGCTCAAAGGCGAAGGCACCAGGGCCAATAGGGACGGAACCTGAGCGGTCATGGGTGCCGACACCAACAAAGCGGCTCCCGTCAAGTATAGGGTCCTCAGAGCAAGCAAAAAGAACTCAAGACCAACGTGGCGGGCCCCTAAACGATCGGCAGTGCCTCGACAGACTGACCTATGAAGCCC